GGTTGATGGGGATGCTTTCCAGCTGTGATTGGTTGTGCCCATAAGCCCCGCCCCCAAATATGGTATATGTACTACAGTACTGGTTAACTAAATACTTAACTTAAACTTGATCATTACAAACAAAAAGCCTGGAAAAATTTCAAAAAATCCATTAAATAAAAGAAAAATAGAGAATATCTATCAAACAAGAGACATTCAAACAATTTTATAACAAATCTGAGGTACTATACAATTGAAACAGTTTGTTCACGTTTTTGATCCTCCATTTCATTTATAGTAAGTCACCTGGCAGAGCACTGTATCTAAGGAAAGCATTCCACCTTGGGTGGAAAGCTTTTTTATAAGTGAACCTCCATTTCTAGAATTCCACCCTGGTGGTAGGGTTGGTATTTCGATACGTTTTCTTATATTGACATGAGAATATATTACCTATACAGAATTCCACACTGGTGGCAAACCACCAGTTTTTTAGAATCAGTTCATTTTTAATATTCTCATTTACCCAAGATTTTAACAGATTTCTTATGTATGATAATTCTGGTATCCAAGATACTTTACTGGTCTATTTAAAGGACTCAAAAATGAACTTGAGGAAGAGTCTAAAAAACTCTCTGCTTTGCCACTATTGTTGATAGTTGATACATACAAATAATACAAAGAGTTGTTGCTCAACCTCAAAGTAGTCAATATTATAGAACATATGTTAAAACCTTAATTAGAATTTAGAAAACAAAGCAAAATCAATCTGTTCTAACTTCTGACTGTTCACAAATCACAATTTTAAGTAGGCTACCTAGTTTAAACTTTAAATTTCAGGTAAAGCAGCATTAAAACTAGGCCTCTGATTAAAATGTTGGTGCATTGGATTTGGAGTGTGGTGACACACTGACAAAGAAAAAGATCTTCAGAGGTCATGGCGGTCAGGCCTGACCTCCTGACCTGAGGCGGTGAGGCCTTTCAATGAATCCATATCGGCTAGCAGTAGCTGCAAGCCTGCCACGCGTCACGCAATCATTATAAAATAAATTTTTGACATAAGGAGAGGGGGAAAGAGGAGCCAGGTATAGGATTCAAAATTTAGACTTTGGAGATGGTTCGTGTAAATTGTAAGGTTTAAGATGAAAGTACTGGCGTCTGGCGACCAGCGAATATAACCGCGCTGTCACTGCACCTGCACGGTCTGTACTGTACGTCTGTTGTTGTTGTTGTTAGCTTTGTTTGAGATGTGTAGATGACCTCCTGCGGGCCAACTGTCACATCTGGACATGGCAGTGTTGATGGCTTTCTTGGGTCTCTTCCTCAGCAGCAGACAAGTTTCATTGGCTTGCAGGTGGAACAGCAACTACTTCCAAATGGCCTGGATGATGCTCGCTGTTTCCCTGCTTTCAAGGTTGCCCCCAACAAATGGTCTTTTCACAGCGTTTCCAAACGACCAGTGCTTGTGAGAAATTCTGCAACTGCTTTAATTATGAGGTGCTGTGTTTGTTTTTGATAGTCTCCTCCTCCCAGTAATATTCGTGTGGTCAGAGTCTGGATTTCCAAGCCAGAGAGGGCGTGCTTCAGTCTCCGTCGCGCTGCACTGTATCGACTGCACTCGAGTAAAAGATGCTCGATTGTTTCATCCTGGTTGCAGGTGGTGCACAAGGGGGAGTCTGACATGGAGAAGCGATGCATGTATGCANTGACATTAAATAATGTGGGTGATAAAATGGCTCCTTGCGGGACCCCACTCCTGATGATGTGCACAGGAGAAATGGCTCCCTCAAAAAGCACTTTAAAGGAACGGTTTTTTAGATACTCTCTGATCCAGGCCAACATCTTCCCTCTGATTCCTTTTTGCTGTAACTTATACAGGAGGCCCAGATGCCATACACTGTCATATGCACAACTTAAATCGAAAAACACTGCTATGCACACCTGGCGGTTGACAAATGACTCCCTCACACATTTCTCAAGTCTAGCCACCTGGTCAAGTGTGCAAAGACGCCTTCTGAAACCACATTGCGTGGCACTAAGAGCCCCAGTTGTTTCCAACTGGAAAT